CTGTTGATGACGTCAGCGACGCGGTTTAGTCGGGCGCGGTTTAGTCGAGCGCGGTTTTGTGGTGGAACCTTTGTAAACATAAGCATGAGATTTATTTATTCGTTTGTTTATTCATCTTTTTCAGCCTACTTCAAATTCGGGAATCTTTACAATATCTCACTTTCCAACTTCAAGGTTTGTACTTTTTGACGTAACCTTTCAGCAGAACCACATACAGTATGTGGCTTAAGTACAGGGTGAACATGTTAAAAACTAGAGGTGGGGAATATTTTTGCAGCAGAGGGTCGGGACTGCATGCTCTAAAGCAATTTATTGCAGCCACATGAGAATAATGGCTAGAAATGGAAGCTGGCGTTCACCATTAAGTTCAAACTGTCTCCAGTGATAAGCACAGTTTTCCTGGGTAATGAAGTGTGGTGGTTAAGAAGTGGGAAGCCTTCATCCAACGTCTCCTCTGAACCACAGAGTTCACTGGGTGATTTTGGATCAGTTACTCTCTTTCAACCCAACAGTGTTTATCAGTGGTGGGATTCAGCCAGTTCGCACCACTTCGGGAGAACCAGTTGTTAACTTTCTGAGCAGTTTGGCAAACTGGTTGTTGGAAGAAATCATTAGGGCAGAGAACTGGTTGTTAAATTATTTGAATCCCACCACTGGTGTTTATATTGTAGGAATCTGAAGGCCTTGAAGCATCAAGGAAACTAGAACCTCAGTAAATAAATAATAGTTCATATAGGCACTTCATACATTCATATGTTTTAGTCATCTGAATGTACTTCATTCATGTCTGGCACAATGGTTTTAAGGTAGACCTTATTTCAATAGCTGAAGTCAAAAATTGTTTAAGGTAATTTGAAGATGAAGGCTTAGCTCAACTAGCAGAACAAATTCATACTTGTTTCCCAGTTCAGATACGGCATTGCTACATGCATGTAGTTACCTCAAATCAACTTCCTTGCACTTCAGTGCTTAGTCTCTTTGAGGGTGATGGGTAGTTCAAAAATGTGAAATAGAAGTAAATAAAAATAAAAATAAGTAGTTCTTTTTCAGGGCTGTTTGTACCTGCCAAAACCTGAAATACTTATCCACAGACTGTTTTCTTCTCTGGTTTTTTAGGCCACCAGTACAAAATCAATTTGTTCCACCTCAACAACGGCCTCCCGTACGACCACCAATGTCACAAAGACCTCCTGTACGACCACCAATTCCACAATATCCTCCTTTAAGACCACCAATTCCACAACATCCTCCTTTAAGACCACCTATTCCACGGAACACACCTTTAAGACCACCAATCCCACAAAAACCTGTCTTTTCTCCTCCGTCTTGAGGACTTATATAAAGACACGTACTCTATGCCACTAGGAAAATATTGTATTAGTGAAATGAATTAAAATTTTATTTTTAGAAATATACAAAGACCTCAGATCAATTTCTAAAACAGGATTAAAATTAAACTACCAAATCATTATTTAGGAAAGAAAATGCTGCCTTAATTATTAGACTACAGGATATTGCTTTTACGAGTAATATCTCATACCAGTAAAAAATCTTTTACCCTAACATAGGGCCAAACTAGATATTGTAGTAAATGTGATCAGAAACCTTGTCAGACTTATAAAATGTAGGACACGTTTGTGCAATTTTTATTAGAAGAACGAAGGCTTTTCTTTAGTTGTGGGCCCAATGAGATTCCTTCCTTCCTTTCTCTCCTCACTCCTAACATATATTAATTCTTAACATTACAAGAAAACACCTATTGAAGTTAGTGGTGATGGAAGGAATAGTTAAATCTGTCATAAAAATTCCCTTGTTGTTGATCCCTGTAAAAATTGGGGGAGACTGCTGCTCTTACATCGATGACAGATTTGCAAATTGTACAGTTGCTCTGATTTTTTTAAAACGTGCAATTGGTTCTTTGTAGTCAGTTGGTTTATTACATTAAGAAACAATGTGAATGGAATATAATGAAGTGAATGAGTGAAGCACAAGGTGGAATCAAAAAATCAATCAGTGAAAGAAGGGCTGTAGTGTAGTGTTATCTATTTGAGAAAAGATCAGAAAGTGATGTGTATTGCCTTAAAATCAACAAATGTGACTTGATAGCACTGTATTGATAGCACTGTATTGTATTAAGTGTTTAAAAAAAGTGTTATTGTAAGATATTTCTAAAGATTTTTTCAACTTCCCAGGTAAAACATGAATATATTGTTAAATGTTTTCTTCTAACACTGAAATAGAGGATACTTCTGTTTTCTTATCATAAATCTGTGAAAGTTAAACATTTTTATTTATAGCTTTAGCTGACCATTTTGATAAGTCATGTTAATATTATATCAACATGAAACAAAACATCAACTTCATGCTGAAACATAATAGGACATGTTTTCTTAACTATGACTTAATGAAAAAACCACAATTCACTGGGCTCATTAAGCATGTCATATCATTTCAGGTTCATAATAGTAATTTGCACCATTTTTCATTAAAGTGCAATGATGCCACATTTCTGACATACCAGTCCTGATGGTAATTTTGGTGGAAACATAATATAACATTTCTGCATGGATTCATTAAACCAAAGATTTGATAAAAGACTAGTGTTTTGGTAAGGAAAAGAGCAATTTGTATCCTTACAGTGTTACAGCCTTTGTTTAAAGTCACATCATAATCACAGCATGTATAAATACATATTTTGAAAAACACAATGCATTGGAAAATTGAAAAATTGGGCACAAGGTTGAATAATTGTTTCCTAATATATGATTTAGGAGTCACATATTATGAATAATCAATTCAGATTTGTAAATCAAGACTAACACATATGGTCCACCAAATTTAATGAATGCATTTATATGATAACGTCTTTCCACTATCAAGCATACATGAAATTCTATCCAGAATTGATTTACAAAATGTTTTTGAAAGCTTTTTAATCTCATTTTTTTGTAATATAATTGTGTTGATGAACAAAGGTATTATGCTGGATACAAATGCCAAAATTTAGATATAAACATAATTTGTAATGTTTACATTGTCTGAAAACTTATATTAATATGTATTTTAGAGACTATAGAATATTTCAAAATTGAAATTTTCCTGTAATCAATCAAATTAGTTAATGGTGCTTCCACCTCTTAAATCTTTGTACCCGTATAAAGTTATTTGCAGTTTTGCACAAATCACTTTTGTAATTTAGAGGTAGAAAAATCAGTTGCACAATTTCTGTTAAAATGGCAAACGTTGTGAACCGTTTTGTAAAAAAAATAAAATAACTTGACATACCAATGGCGTATTTTTTAAAAATAATTTCATCGACACAAAAAATCAATAACAAGTATAATGCTTTTACAATATTACTTTCAATGTGATTGCAGATTAATAAAATAGGTGATTCTCACTTAGTGACCACTCATTCAGCAACCTTTCAAACTTTCTGACCAAGTGGTGTTCATCACCATACCTTGAATTTGCAGCTGTTTTTGCAAGGCCCTCACAGTCACAAGATGCCATTTGCAACCATTTTGCTGGGGTTCACCGACAAAAGGGCGAATGACAAAACCGCGCCCGACTAAACCGTGTCGTTGGCGTCATCAACAGGGCGACAAGAGCGCGGAGACAGAAGCGCGCTGTAAAAGTAACCCTAAACCTAAACCTAACCCCTAAACCTAAACCTAACCCC